CCAGCGCCATCTGTGAAGCTGTCCCTCACACCCTCCAACATTGCCTGCCGGGTGCCGGCCAGCCTCGCCCAAGACCTGCCGTGGAGAGCCCTGAGCCCGGCCACCGGGGCGCCCCCGGACCAGGAGTTACTGTCATGGCCGCCGAGGAAGTAAGAGGCCTCCCGCTCTCCTCCGGGCCTTCTACCTGGACCGAGGGCCCACTCCCCAGAGCGCTGGCCTCAGGAGGCCGGCTGCATTCTCCTCACGTGCTCAGATGGAGGAAGTGAGGCTCCCAGAGGTTAGGGGGCCTCCAGGGCCGGCCTGCAGCTGGGCCGGTGCAGGCTGAGAGCCAGATTGAGGGCATCTGATTCCCAGTCCCGTCTCTTTCCCACTGAGCCACTCCGCCTCGCTTTTAATTTAATTAGGAGAACATTTAATCCCCCCGTGCATTTCAGAGACGGGTTGGAGCTGGCCGGGGCTGGGAGGCTCTGACGGGGCCTGTGACTCACGCAGCCCTGCACAGCACTCCCGGGCGGGCTCCCACGGGGCTTCCTTGGCACCTTGTGCAGACAGAGGTGGTCTGGAGCTCCGAAGAAGACAGGACACCGGTCTGGAAAGACAAACTGGTCTCATCTGTTCCTGGCAAGCCCCCTCCTTCACCCCCTGGACGCTAGCCCCGAAGTGGCCTCTTTATCTTTTCCCACCAAAGTTTGCAGGGTGAGAAACAAAGCAAGGAGCATGGCTGCTTGGAGAGGTGCAGCGCCTGGCGTCTCTGCGGTCCGTGGGAGTGATTCGCAGCTGGCCCCAGGGTCCCCGAAACGTCCCCAGCCAAGCTGGTCCCATCCAGAGAGCTAGTCCACGGAGCCGAGCGCAGGGCCGAGCCTTGTGACATTTGCCCCCGTTTCCAGAAGGCATGGGGCTGGCCATGGCCTCACTGACAAACGCAGAATTCAGGAGACATTAGTAGTGATGTGGACGAAAGCCAGGCCGCAGCGGCCTTGCTGGAAGAGAGACACTTGAGCATTTTGGCATGAGACTCCGCAGGGTCCAGGAGAAAGTTGGAGACATGGAAATTCTAATTAACGCACACGGGGCTGGTTTTGCTCAAGGATCTACAGGCTGTCCTGTCACAGGAGGCCCAGAGGCCCACAGTTGCTGGGGAGGTGCTCACAGTCACCTGGTGGGGGCCCACGGTACCCCAGCCCTGGCCCTGCCTTCCCTCTGCCCACGGCCCTCCCCATGCCCGCGTAGATGCACAGGGCGTCAGGCTGTGCCCCCCTTCCCCCTGCGGGGCGGGGCGGGGGCGGCTGGTAAGCAGAAGCGGAGCCTCATCCAGCCTCGACAGGGAGATGGAGGAACCCTTCAGGGGAACCCCAGGCCGAGGTGTTTGTGGTGGGCCTGGCCTCTCGCACCACCTGCCTGGGGGGCCCACATGCACCCAATGGGATGGATGTGGACTCCTGGCCAGGCTTGGCTGTCGTGGCAGCTGGGCGAGGCATGGGGGGGCTTCACTGAGGTAGCTGCCGTTTCCCAAGGCTGCTGGGACAAGGGTACCCAGGCCCAATCAGAGCCACAGATCCCCATGTGGAGGCCAGTGCTGACCAGCCGCCCCCTGCCCTGCATGCCAACACCCCTGCTGAGGCACCACGGCCCTCACCACCTCATCTCAGGGGAGGCTGGCCTGGCCCTGGGGGCGGGGGGGTCCGGCCTGCCTTAGGGCGGGAGCCACAGTCCTGGAGCTCCTTCCAGCCCGGGGCTTTGGGAGTGCCGGGGAGGGGGAGCCTGATAAGAGCCATGCATACCCTGCTCCCCAGGAACTGAGGGTGGGGCCCCAGACTGAGGGCCCAGGGAGCTGGTATGGAAGCCCTGACAGCCAGAGGAGGACGTGGCCTCCCTGGGGCGAGGACGATGGAGCAGGAATCTGATGGCTGCCGGTGAGGGACAGGCGGTTTCAGATGGGGACACCACGTACAATGCAGAGGGATGCACACAGAGGTGGCCTTCCCTTCCCGCTGTCCCGCCGGTGGCCCTCAGCGGGCAGAAGGCAATGGGTGGGGCAGGAGGCCAGGGGCTCATCCTGGCTCCTGATGGGGTGCGGGGCTCTCCTGTCCTCACTCTCCTAGATGCCCCATCTCTACCTTACACTTGCCCCTTGGAAGCCCCGTGGCAAGGCTCTGGGTGGGGGCGACACAGGTGCAGAGAGCTTGAGGCAGACAGGGGCTCCTGAAAGCTGTGTGCGTGAGACTGCTGCCCAGCCCCCCGGAGCTGGGCGAGGGCCCCAGGGCTGCATGGGGACGCTGGGGCTTGCTTGTGTGGCCCGGACCACTCTGCCTCCCCAACCCACGGTGTCCCGGCGACTCCCTAGTTTGCACCCCGTTTGCTCACCAGCCCCCAACCCCCCCACCCCTCGCCCCACCAATGGCCAGCAGGCCCCGGAAAGAGGAGCTTCGCCCAGCCCCAGGGACCTTCCCGTAATCAAGGCTGCAGTGACCTCACCTCCCTGGGGCCCAGCGGGTGGGGAGAGCTTGAGATGGAAACAAAATGTGTCTTTATTTATGCTTTTAATTTGAATTCTGGAACTGACCCAACGTGGTAATACACTTAACCTCAGTAAAATGCTGAAGAAAAATGAATCTGTTTTTCAGTAACTGCTTCCCACCCCCTCTGCCCCTTGCGAGACCCCCGTGCACATCCCCATCCCTCATGCACACACCAGGGCAGGGGACAGCCCTGTGCGGGGTCCACGGGGCCAGGCGGCCCGCAGGAGCCTCGACGTGGCCCTGAGCAACCGGAGCCAAGTTTAATTAGGGGCAAGGATCACCAGGAGCGCCGGGTGGGAGGTGAAGACGCACAGCCCCAGAGCGGGTGCACAGGGTGGGTGCACAGGGCGGGCGCAGCCCTGAATAAACACGCCCACCAGATCCACCTCCTCTTCCAGCCATGGTGGGGTGGGGCCTCTGCCCAGCCTGTGGCCCTGGGGGCGCCTCAGTCCTGAGGCCCCAGCACCTCTCCCTGAGCCTCCATCCCACGCTCCCCAGCGGGGCTCCCTGAGGCATGGTTCCCTGTGCCAAGGACATGTCTGTGCAGGTCCCCTGCCAGCTCCCCTTGACTCTGCCCTGAATGGACCACGGTGCCTTGACCTCAGTCTCCCTGCTCCCAGCCCCTGCCACAGACCCAAGTACCATGCCTGGACACCTCCCTATCCCCCCAGCTGGTTCACACCCAGCCACCACCTCTGGACGGGTCTGCTGGGAGAAGCCATTGTAGGTTCTAGCATGGGGACCTGGCTGAGGACTGGGGTACAGGCCCAGGCAGCACTGGGGCTGACCAAAGAAACCTCCCCCCAGCCAGTCTTGCAGGGTCAGAGAGCCTGTGAGGCCTCACAACCCAGCTGCGTGGATGGTGGGTGGTGGCCCTGTCCTGCCCGGTGGGACTCCTCGTGTGTGTGTGTTCGAGGGGCTGGGCCACGGCCACGGCCGAGAGAACAAAGGAGAAGAGCCTCCAATGGGAGGAGAGTGGCTATGGGTACAGGAAGGGGCAGCAGGCCCAGTAAGCCTGGGGTGGGGGGGTCCACCTGCCTGAGGGTTGCGGGTCCCGGCAGGCTCTGAGCAGGCTCTGCACCTGTGTTGCTCGCAACACCAGCCACAGAACTCCCAACTGTTACCACTCCCTGGTCTTTCTTGTGCCCTGGACTCCGTGAAGGCCTCAACCAAAGTGGTAAGCTAGCATTCTGCCTTCAGGCACCGGCCTGCCCTGCACTGCCTGCCCGCCCGCCCGGCTGTTCACACCTCCGCTCCCGCCCCCTTATCCAGCAAGCCTGTCTATTCATCTCCAGGACGGATGGGGGCCCTGCAGCCCACTCGCGCCGTGTCCACAAGCATGAGTCGCCTCTGCTTCCCGGTGAGCCAGCCGGCTCCCACCAAGCCAGGGAGTACTTCCTGGGGGCACCCTGCCAGCCATGGGGTGCTGCCCACTTCCCCGTGAGCCTGGGGAGCCTGGAAAGCTGGCCGGCGGGTCCTGCCTGGTCACAGGACCAGCCCGAGACGGTCCCGTCTTTCATTCTGGCTACGAGACTCTACCAGTGTGCTGCCTGAGCAGCCAGGAGGCCCCCCGACCTGGGTCCCCGCTTCCTCGGACATCTGCGAGGCAACGGCCCAGGGCTGCGCCCCGACGGAGGTGCCCACGGCTTAGGACAATGCGAAGACCCCCAGAGGAAGGCGAACGCCCTTCCAGGACCTCTCCATGTGTGCGTGGAGACGCAACCGTGTCAGCAAGCGAGCCGGGGGCGGGCCGAGCGGAGCGCACACCCTCACACCGGTCTGGGGGAACCCCCCCGCGGGGCGGCGGCCAGAATGGGCCCGGGTGCCCCACTGACCCCACCACTCGCCGTCACCACTGGGTGCCTCTGCTGGGAGCACTGACTCATCCCTCGCAAGGGAATCACACCACGGCCGGGCCCTGGGGACTGGCCTGGCAGGGCTGTGACGGCGGGGGAGGACGGGCGTGCGTCCCAGGCCAGCTGGGCCTCGGGGGAAGGCCAACTGGAAGGCGTGGAAAATCAGCCATTTCCTCCACCTGAAGGAGCCCCTGAGGACAGCAGAGGCCACTGGCAGACAGCGCTCGGCATCTGCCCCGCGGCTCTGGCCGGGCTTCTACAGGGAAATGCTGAAAAACAAAGTCGTCTCTTTTTTGGGGGGTGGGGGTGGGGGCGAGGGGAGAGAAAAACAATCTCCTCAGACGCTCGAGGCACAAAAACAAGTGGAAAATGATCAGTTTGGTTTTCCATAAGTCAAAACAAGAGGATCATGTTCCCAGGCTTGGCGGGAAATGCCTCTGCTCTCCTCCCTGCCTGGTGCCCGGGCACTGGGTCCGGCCCCTGGCGGTGGGCGGGTGGCCCCCGGTCGCTGAGGGCAGGCGGCAAGTGGTGGCAGGCCCCGCGTGAGCAGGCCTGAGCCCCGGGCTGGCACCGAGGCGGCCCCTCGGAGCCCCATGTCCCTCCAGCCAGGCGGGCGGACACTCACTGTGACACGTGGGTGATGGGCGCCAGCAGCGTCTCCCCCTCCAGGTCCAGGTCCTCGGCAAAGCTATTGGTTCTCACGAAGTGGGCTGTGCTCACCTCCAGCAGCATGGGGCTCTTCTTCACTGTGGGGAAAGGCGTGGGACAGCACGTGAGGCCTCCATGGAAGGCTCGATGGGGCCTAGGGCGGCCCAGAGCTGGGCTCAGACGCCCACCCCAACCGGCCACCCCAGCGGGGGGGCGGGGGGGGGACAGACTTGCACACCCACAGCTTCCCCCAAACTGACAAGACATACACCTGCAGAGCTGGGTGAGGAGTGGGGATGGTTCCCGAAGCTTCCACCCCGAGAATCTGCGGGGTGGGCCGGTTAAAATGGCCCCCACGTGCCTGAGGCCTCAAAGGCCTGTGACACCTTCCCAGGGGGAGGACTGCCTGGGCTGAGCTCAGGTGTCCAGGCCTGTCCCCGGATTCACAGCTGACACTCAGGTCAACAGTAAAACGCAGCTGATAAACACAGGTCTGCTGAGAGACCCCGACTTCCGCCAGCACGCCATCACCCTTGTGCAGACAGAGGGCCTTGCATCAGTGAAGACCCAAGGTGGTCTCCTGCCCACGAGGAGCCACAGCCTGGGAGAGAGGGGGCCGCCCTGGAGCCCCTGGTCCCCTGTTCAGGCCACAGGGCCACACCGGCCACCCAAACCCCAAGGGAAGCGCCGAACTACCTCACCCCAATGGACCCGTGTCACACTCAGGTTCCTGGACCCGCCCCTGACAATCTGGGTGCCGGTGCTCAGGGCTGATAAGAATACCCACCAGTCCCCAGATGTTCAACGCGGACTGATTTTTCTTTTCCCCATTTAAAGATTTTATTGTGAAAGAAGTAAGTTCTCATTGGAAAAATTGCACCAACTCAAAGATTCACGAAGGCCCGCCTCCTCCAAGATCATCTGTGTCAACTGCCCAGTGGATTCCTAGCTCATCGCTCCCTGCTCATCATACGGCTGACACCAGGTGAGACTCTCTTTTTTATATACGCACGTGTCTGCTCTGCCCCCGTCACTCTGTGGCACACTCATCTCATCTTTCTACAGGTGTACAGATGGGGAGCCATGCTTTGGTAGTTGGACAATCGTCCGTGGCTTATGTCTGCCACAGTTCACTCAGCCACTCTATGGTGGACAGATGCTGAGGCTCCCCTGGCTTTAAGCCACTGCTTTGAGGCGATGACACGTCACCCATTTGTTTTTTGTTTTTTTGTTTTTAAAGATTTTATTTATTTATTTGACAGAAAGAGACACAGTAAGAGAGGGAACACAAGCAGGGGGAGTGGGAGAGGGAGAAGCACACTCCCCACTGAGCAGGGAGCCCGATGCGGGGCTCGATCCCAGGGCCCTGGGATCAGGACCTGAGCCAAAGGCAGACGCCTAACGACTGAGCCACCCAGGTGCCCCAATGCGCCATCCATTTGTAAGAAAACCTGACACTGGGGCCAGGTGTGAGGGTGCTTTCCCAAGAAGCTGTAGCAATTCAGACTTCAGCAGTGTGTGAATGTGACCGCTAGCCCACGTCCATGCCCACACCAGCCGCTGGCGCCCTTCCCAGGGCCCACCAGGCACAGAGGAAGATGAGGGTGCTGTTTTTCCTTTTATGCTGAAGGCCTTTTGTGGCTTGGAGGCCATTTGGACTTCCTCTTGCAGAACTGAATTGCCTGTTCATATCTTTTGCTCATTTCTGCTTGTCAACTTGTAGGAATTGTTTACCAATTAAAGATATTGACCCTTTGTCATGTAAGGTAGAGAAATCTTCCCCAGTCTATCTTTGGTCTTTTAGCCTTTGAGTATGGTTGTTTTTATCATAGAAAATGTTTTATGTGTCTAAAGTGATACACCTATCTTTTGCTTTATGTAAAAGGAAGATTTTCCCACTTCAAAGGAATACAACTGCCTCCTAAATTTACTTGTTATATAAATGTATGAATGTTGTGTGTGTAAATTTTAATGCATTTAGCATTTATGCCTAACATTCTGGGCGTTCACCAACAATCTGGAAGTGTAAAAGTACTGTGTGCAATCTTAAACTAACATAAGAAATAAAATATAAAATTTCTTGAGGAAGACACAGAAGAATATCTCTGGGCCTTGGATTTGGCAATGAGTTTTGAAGTACAATGCTACAAGCTCAATCGGTGAGTGGAAGAAATTGACAAACTGGACTTTATCAAAATTAAAGATATTTGCTCTGCAGAAGACACTCCTAAGGGAAGCAGAGATAAGCTACAGACTTGAAGAAGGTGTTTCCACGTCTCCTATTTGGCCAAGGACTTGTATCTAGAATATATAAAGAACTCTTGCAACTTGACAGCAGGAAAGCCACCAACCCAGTCTAAGAAATGGATTACAAGCAAGTATGGAAAAAGATGCTCAGTTTGGTCAACATCAGTAGTTGTTAGGGAAATGCAAGGTAAATAAATCCACAGTGAGCGACCACGACACCTTTGTTGGAATGGCTAAATTTTGTTTTTTTAAGATTTTATTTATTTGAGAGAGAGAGAGCAGAGCGAGAGAGAGAACATGGGGTGGGGGGCAGAGGGAGAAGCAGACTCCCCACTGAGCAGGCAGCCTGATGCGGGACTCAATTCCCGGACCCTGGATCATGACCCGAGCCAAAGGCAGATGCTTCACTGACTGAGCCACCCAGGCGCCCCTCTGGAATGGCTAAATTTTGTTAAACAAAACTTGAGGCCTGACCATGCCACGCACTCAGGAGGATGTGGAGCAACTGGAACTCACTGCCGCCGGTGGGAATGCGGAATGATGTGGCTATGCTGGAAACAAGTTTGGCGGTGTCTCATAAAGCTAACCGTGCACCTGCCATGCGACCCAGCAGTCCTCCCAGATATTTACCCAAGTGAATAAAAAATTTATGTTCACAAAAAGCTGTACATAAACGTGCACAGCCACTTCACTCACAATCACCCAAACCTAGAAACAGCCAAGACATCCCTCAGTGGGTGAATGGGTAAATGAACAGTGTTATAGCCAGACGATGGAACATCGCCCAGCAACCAGAAGAAATGAACTAATAATTCGTGGAGCAACATGGGTGACTCTCACATGCATTTTGCTAAAGCAGTGAAAGAAGCCAGATGTAAGAGGCTACATGTTCTATGATTCCATTTCTATGACATTCTGGAAAAGGCAAAACTGCAAGGACATAAAACAGATCAATGGCTGCTCATGTTTATGGGAGGGGGAGTATTTGACTTCCAAAGGGTTGCATCAGGGAATTTCTAGGCCTGTGGAACTTCTCTCAGTGATGCTCTGGTGGTAGATATGTGAATCCAGGCATTTGTCAAAACCCACAGAACTGTCTCTCTCCAAGAATGAATTCTATTGTATGCAAACTAAAACAAACAAACAAAACCAAAAAAACCCACATCAACCAGCCTGTTGCAGGATCCTAGGAATGAAAGCAGACCGGGACAAGTGAATTCTGTGTGACGAATGTATGACATCATACCGCATGCCATGGAACGGATGGGGAGAAGGTTCCTGAGCCTTGGGAAACCATCTTTGGACCGTCATAAACACAGGGCTCTAGTTGGTAATTTTGCTTCTCGTAGGGAAATTGCGGGTTGAACAAATAAGTAAATAAATTATTGATAACCAGAGCCAGGTTTCTCACTCTCAGAGAAATGCAGTAGCAAACAGAGTGTGTGTCACTGGGGGTGGGGTGCAAATGACCCCATGGCTGGAAACTGCAGTAGGAACTCGTATTGCACTTGCTATAGACACGTGCGTATCCTTGGGTTACGGACGTACATATATTTCCTCGCTCTGTCCACAGAGAGGCCCTGGAAGCAGTGACAACCTGGGAGCCACGAGCACCCCCAGGGCCAGATCCTGGTTTCTCAACACCATCTGCTTTCCGGTTGGAGGAACCGGCACTCTCTGGCTGAGGACAAGTCTAGGGCTGGGGCAGGGCAGATGCACGAGGAGCCTGAGGTTACTGCTTATTGCTGGAAAGGAAGGGGATGCTCAGAATGGATGGGGGATATATATCGAGTGGGCACAGGAACTAACCCAAAGGGCTCCCGATCCGGTGGCCAAAGCCAGAGCAGTTTGAGCCACAAAATAAATAACAGTAGTATCGAATTAGAGCTCAAAACACAAGTATCCCTGAATCCATCCTGATAAGAACTAATAACTGGAAGAGAGGGACAGGTCTTCTTCCACAGATGAATGCTCAAAGCAGTCGGTGGAACATGAAGGCGAGACTTCAGAGGATCTCCCTTGGGTATCTCTTGGCGGCTGGGCTGGTCTTAACACAGGTTCACCGACACTGCCCCACCCTGTCCAGCAGGAGGTGGAGCACCGGGCCCCTCCCCTTGAGGACCATGCACTCAATGACTCGCTTCCACGGCCAGGCTACAGAAAGGGGAAGGGGTGACACAACCTCAGCTCTGTGGGTCAAGGTTAGCAGCACCAGTGACAAGTCATGTTGACGTCGTGAACTCACGATGAGATGCACTCTGCAAAGCGTCTCACTTCTGCGCCTGCAAACCCATAACCCCAGTCTCACCCTGAGATACCAGACAAGCCCAATTGCTGACACCTGGCCAGTATTCCTCAAAAATGCCAAGGTCACAAAAACCAAGGAAGGACTGAAGAGGGGGTTTCACAAATCAGAAAAGACCCCGAGACCTGCTGAATATAAATGTACCGTAATTGATGGATCTTGGAACAAAGGACAGTAGTTAAACTGGGGAGATCCAAATGAACGAACTAAACTGTAGCTTAATAATAGTGTTGCTGCAACGGTAATTTCTCAGTTTTAGCAATTATACCATGGTTATATAAGGTGCTGACATTAGCAGAAGCTGGTAAAAGGTATACAGGGACTCTCTGTACTATTTTGCCTCTCCTGTAAATCGAAAATGTATTTTGAAATCAGAAAAAAAACAAAGCAAACCAAAACAAAACAAAAAAAACCCAGCAACCCCAAATCAAAAGAACAAACGAAAAAATCCTGTATACAATAGTACAGAAAATTTTTCAGTATCTAATCAAGGATATACAAGAACCCTAAGGAGAGATGATTAGGCCTTAATGAGAGCCATTCAAG